CGTTGCAAACGCCATGCTCTACCAACTGAGCTACATCCCTGCCGGCCATTCCCTCCCCTACCCTGGACGAATTGTGCGCCACCCCATGGGTCTCCCGGTCACGGCCGGCTACGACAGAGCCTGGATTCGAACCAGGATCTCTAGTGGGACAGTGCCACTCGGGAGACATAATTAGACCACTGCGCCACTCGGGAGACATAATTGACATCATTTGAGTAAATTGGAGGTGTACCTGTGGATGTATTTCAAGGCCTACCTTCAAACTCAGTGCCTCTTTGCTTGACATCATGGGAAAATCAAAAGAAATCAGCCAAGACCTCAGAAAAAATATTGTAGACCTCCACAAGTCGGGTTCATCCTTGGAAGCAATTTCCAAACGCCTGAAGGTACCACGTTCATCTGTACAAACAATAGTACCCAAGTATAAACACTATTGGACCACGCAGCCATCATACCGCTCTTGAAGGAGACACGTTCAGTCTCCTAGAGATGAACGTACTTTGGTGCGAAAAGTGCAAATCAATCCCAGAACAACAGCAAAGGACATTGTGAAGATGCTGGAGGAAACAGGTACAAAAGTATCTATATCCACAGTAAAACGAGTCCTATATCGACATAACCTGAAAGGCCGCTCAGCAAGGTAGAAGCTACTGCTCCAAAACTGCCATAAAAAAGCCAGACTACAGTTTGCAACTGCACATGGGGACAAAGATCTTACTTTTTGGAGAAATGTCCTCCGGACTGATGAAACAAAAATAGAACTGTTTGGCCATAATGACCATCGTTATGTTTGGAGGAAAAAGGGGGATGCAGCATCATGCTGTGGGGCACGGGGGTGGCAGCATCATGCTGTGGGGGTGCTTTGCTGCAGGAGGGACTGGTGCACTTCACAAAATAGATGGCATCATGAGGAAGGAAAATTATGTGGATATATTGAAGTAACATCTCAAGACATCAGTCAGGAAGTTAAAGCTTGGTCGCAATTGGGTCTTCCAAATGGACAATGTCCCCAAGAATACTTCCAAAGTTGTGGCAAAATGGCTTAAGGACAACAAAGTCAAGGTATTGGAGTGGCCATCTCAAAGCCCTGACCTCAATCCTATAGAACATTTGTGGGCAGAACTGAAAAAAGCGTGTGCGAACAAGGAGGCTTACAAATCTGACTCAGTTACACCAGCTCTGTCAGGAGGAATGGGCCAAAATTCACCCAACTTGTTGTGGGAAGCTTGTGGAAGGCTACCCGAAACGTTTGACCCAAGTTAAACAATTTAAAGGCAATGCAACCAAATACTAATTGAGTGTATGTAAACTTCTGACCCACTGGGAATGTGTTGAAAGAAATAAAAGCTGAAATAAATCATTCTCTCTACTATTGTTCTGACATTTCACATTCTTAAAATAAAGTGGTGATCCTAACTGACCTAAGACAGGGACTTTTTACTAGGATTAAATGAAAGGGAATTGTGAAAAACTGAGTTGAAATGTATTTGGCTAAGGTGTATGTAAACTTCCGACTTCAACTGTAGATCTAGTGAAAATTAGATAAGCAACACTGAACTGCACTGGTTGGGTGTGATGGAGAGAAGTTGTCACTACAAGCCTTACATGAAAGTTGCCTGAAGCTGAATGGAACTATGCCCTGACTAGTTATTCCAAAGAAAATCCTTGTGTCTAAACAGGCCGTGGCTCGGGTGGTTGATGTCCTTGATTATATTTTTGGCCTTCCTGTGACATCAGGTGCTGCAGGTGTCCTGGAGGGCAGGCAGTGTGCCCCAGGTGATGCGTTGGGCAGACCGCACCACCTTCTTCACCACATTGTCTGTGTGGGTGGACCATTTCAGATTGTCAGTGATGTGTACGCAGAGGAAATTGAAACTTTTTCACCTTCTCCACTGCGGTCGCGTCAATGTGGATGGGGGCGTGCTCCCTCTACTGTCTCCTGAAGTCCACAATCAGCTCTTCTGTTTTGTTGACATTGAGGGAGAGGTTATTTTCCTGGCTGTTCTATATTGTTTTGTCTCTTGCAATTCAAGAATCAATGCAATACACACTGTGCCTTAACATGTTCTACAAAGTTCAAACTAAAACCATGTGAGAGTTTTTGCCTATCATGCTGTACCAAAAGCAATGACCACCAACTCTGATTGTGTGGCAATAAAGAGTCTTGCTGCGACCAGTGTAACAGAACAATCTAAAGACACTACACGAGATGGGAGACCAAGACCAGTCCGTCACATCTTCCTTTTGATCTTTCCTTTGAGCAGTGGCAGTCTTTCTGAATTCGTAAAGTACAATCTGGGTCGGCCATCGTTCAACGACCAATGCGCGAGACTGCTCTCTACACAAAAACAAAACTTAAACAAAAGAACTGCAAATGAGCCGTCGTGGGGCAGTGTGCCCACAAATGCCTGGGACTTGGTTGGAGGCCGTACAGGGTCGTATTCACTAGGCACCAAACCGAATGAAAACGTACTGAAACTGCAAGGGACTACCTGAACTTGTCCCATAAGAAACGCTTGTTTTTAGTTTTTCATTGCAAGGGTGTTTTGCTACGGTCCATACCAATAAATACGACCTAGTACTTACATAGGTTACAACAGAGCTACCTAACCCTCTTCCTGGAGATCTACCCTCCTGTGGGTATTCAGTCCAACCTGGACCTAACATACCTGATTCAGCTAGTTTTGGGTCATGTTCCAGGCCCTGACCAAATTGCAGATAATGCATTGCATCAACCAGTAGTTGCATAGCACGTCATTTGCATGCCACGTCATCGACTGCGCAGTCGGGCATTAGATTACTATCCCACTATATCATATGGGTCCATTCCTGCTTGACTTCATTGAAGACGGCTGCTTGGATAGGTGTTTAACATGTCAGCTAACCACATCATATGATATAGCAATGTAATGCCTAACAGTCGATGACATGGCACACAACCATTGGTTGATGCAATGCAAAGTCTTCAACATAATCAGGCAGGAACACCACCAATATGTGGTTAGCTGATATGTTCAACACTAGCCTCATGTGGCCATCCTTCCAAATCTTGTCTCGTTGAATCGTGTTGGAAATCTTGAGAAATCCAGTATATGATTCTGGGTTTGAATGGGAGTGTAGGTTTTTCTTCAAATCCTTATCTAGTGCACCTTACTAACTGGTTGATAAGCTGAATCACGTTAGTTACTACTGGGTTTGGATCGAAAACCTACAGGATTGTAGCTCTACAGGAACAGAGGTAGTAAGCCCTCCAATTGTTTTTATTTAAACTTTATTTAACCAGGTAAGCCAGTTGAGAACAAGTTCTCATTTACAACTGCGACCTGGCCAAGATAAAGCAAAGCAGTGCGATAAAAACAACAACAACACAGAGTTACACATGGGATAAACAAAACGTACAGTCAAAAACACAATAGGAAAATAGAAAATCTATATACAGTGTGTGCAAAATGTAGTAAGTTATGGAGGTAAGGAAATAAATAGGCCATAGTGCAAAATAATTGCAATTTAGTATTAACACTGGAATGATAGATGTGCAGAAGATGATGTGCAAATAGAGATACTGGGGTGCAAATGAGCAAAATAAATAACAATATGGGGATGAGGTAGTTGGGTGGGCTAATTACAGATGGGCTGTGGACAGGTGCAGTGATCGGTAAGCTGCTCTGACAACTGATGCTTAAAGTTAGTGAGGGAGATAAGAGTCTCCAGCTTCAGAGATTTTTGCAGTTCGTTCCAGTCATTGGCAGCAGAGAACTGGAAGGAATGGTGGCCAAAGGAGGTGTTGGCTTTGGGGATGACCAGTGAGATATACCTGCTGGAGCGCATACTACGGGTGGGTGTTGCTATGGTGACCAATGAGCTAAGATAAGGCGGGGATTTGCCTAGCAGTGATTTATAGATGACCTGGAGCCAGTGGGTTTGGCGACGAATATGTAGTGGCCAGCCAACGAGAGCGTACAGGTCACAATGGTGGGTAGTATATGGGGCTTTGGTGACAAAACGGATGGCACTGTGATAGACTACATCCAATTTGCTGAGTAGAGTGTTGGAGGCTATTTTGTAAATGACATCGCCGAAGTCAAGGATCGGTAGGATAGTCAGTTTTACGAGGGCATGTTTGGCAGCATGAGTGAAGGAGGCTTTGTTGCGAAATAGGAAGCCAATTCTAGATTTAGTTTTGGATTGGAGATGCTTAATGTGAGTCTGGAAGGAGATTTTACGGTCTAACCAGACACCTAGGTATTTGTAGTTGTCCACATATTCTAAGTCAGACCCGCCGAGAGTATTGATTCTAGTCGGGCGGGTGCAAGCAGCGTTCGATTGAAGAGCATGCATTTAGTTTTACAATAGTGATTTGGGATGTGTAAAAAATAAAATAAAAGTAGAGGCCAATAAATCACCAAATAATCTGAACTAGTTATGCTAATCTGTTATGTTAACTATCCAAACGTTGTAATACACCCATAAATTAAGAAGCAATGAAGACACCTGGAACGCACCCGTGTGGACCTGCAACCGCAGCCTAGCAATGAACGCACCCGTGCCGACCTGCAACGCGTCCGCGGGCTAGCGATGTGGTGATTGTTGTCTAATTTGTATTTATTTAATTAGGCAAGTCAGTTAAGAACAAATTCTTATTTACAATGACGACCTATCCTAATCGGGTGAGCCAGCAGCCAGTGGGGCCACGAGTTGCTGGAGCGCGTTCAGAGTTTACGTTGTAGGTTTGAAATATTTTTATTAATTAAGGTGCTGCAAATGCAATGCTCTCTTATTATTTATTAATTACCATTTTGCTTCCTATGGCGGGCAAGGGAGGTCTGGTTGTCGGCCATGCTGGAAATGTGATCTCGCGTTATTGTGTCATTGTCAATACAGGACATGTACACCAAGATATGAAACGTTTATTTGAACCTTCTGACCAACTAGTGGGTCAGGCGGCGCCCAACTATCTGATTCATATCGCGTGGTTTCTGATGATTGCTCTCGATTATATCGACTGATTGGTTCTGTATGGGGTGATTGGGGATGAAATTGTTTGTGCATAGCAAATTAATATTGTTATTATTTTACATTTTCAGGATGGGAATAACGCTTTCAGTGTAAACTTAAACGACTAAAACCAAATAGAAAGTATGTAGAAAAGATATGTAGACAGTCAGGACCCCATTGATTTTGTTATAATGTTTGAGCATAAGAACGCAGCATAAATTTGCTTAAAATCGGAATAATTTCCCTCCCATTTCAGGACTGCGAAATGCGCGTCCCCGACAGCGGAAGTTGCAGACAGCCCGTCCGGCGGTGGTTAGGCGAACCGGTGAAAAAAAGAAAATAACCGTGGTGGAGCGGAAAAAAATTGCTTTTACGTGGAATAAAACAGCTATATGTCTGTATCTCGAGTTCTTCTTCCCCAATATTCAAAGGTATTTATGTTAGCTTTGGATTACGCCTAGAAAACATAGGTTACAGCTAGCTAGTAAGCTAAATTAGCTAGCTAACCAACGTTAGCATTTCGTAAGGACTCGATAAGCGGGCCAAGATAGTTAGCTAACTATGCTAACAACGCAGTGGTAGAGAAGAGAACTGAGTATTAAATATTAACACAAATATACCCATAATACCAACTTTACTGAAAAGACCAGCCAACTAGCTGACTGCGCTAACGTTACCTACTAACTAACGTTAGTTAGCATGAAGTGAGTTGAACACTAACATAACGTTAACTCGCTAACTTCGCTAGGAACGTTAGCTAGCTATTAAATTAGCTAGTTTATTGGTGTTTCCACTGCTTGATGCCCTCAGACTGAACAGAACGGACATATAACAATGTCTTAATGTAACATGCTCTAAAAAAATGTTATCTTACTCTTCCATAGATCCCTCTCTATTGCACCAATCTGCCGCTCTCTCTTTGTGACTAGAACTGCCTGAACAGCTAGAGAGAGAGTGTGTGTTCCGGACCAGGGTGTCTGTGTGTGTGAAGTATACACACCCTGTGTTTGCGAGGCCCTGTAGGAGACTCCCCCAGACCCCAGAGTGAGGATTGTGTGTGAGCCTCTCGCTCCATATGTGTGTGACAATGGGGGACATCAGTGATCTGGACAGACAGATAGAACAACTTAGGCGCTGTGAACTCATCAAGGAAAATGAAGTCAAAGCACTGTGTGCCAAGGCCAGGTAATTAAACACACACACACACAGGCCATATTACTGTAACATTTCTGATACGATCTAAATCTTCATCACTAAGCCTGTCTGCTTGTGTTTGTGTTACAGGGAGATTCTGGTAGAGGAGAGTAACGTACAGAGGGTGGACTCTCCAGTTACAGTGAGTATTTTCAGTATAGAAGACATCTTGATTACTTCGTAGATCTGCCTAGACTGCCATTATTTGCACTTCCCAATCTGAGCCCTCATGTTACATGTGTAATGTTGGATGGCTGAATACATTAAGGGGGACTGGAAACACACGGCTTTAGAACACCAGCTAACCGTAAAAGCCAGTTTATACTTGGTCTAACGACATGTTTGTAGACAATTAGAATGCGACAAGTGTCGCTGGTCAAAACAACATTTCATTTATACTCCGGTGGAATGTCTGTAGACCGTCCTGCGACTGTCAGTTTCCTTGTCGTGCAGACATGAAAAAAGTTTCTTCTCTGCGACTGTCGGAACGTCTGTTGTCGTGGTTACCGTACTGTCACAGCAACCAGACCAAATCCTCCTGTGACGATGATGCAGTTCTAAAATTCTCGGATAGAATGACCTACTTTTATTTCGTCACACTGTGGCAGTAAGCTATTTTCTGTAAGCTCGCCATAACCATGTAAATCATTATGTTGTTGTGGATTTACTTTCCTGTAATAATGAATAAGATTTACCTAAAGTTTAGACGTTGTCAGCTATACTCTGGTCATTATTTGAACTGGCTAGACAACGGACCAAAACATTGTTTAGAAAATTGCTTTTTGCTAGGTTGACATTTACTGAATTCATTTTCAAACGGATAGGTTTATTGGTGTTAAAATAGAGCACCGGGCTGTTGATGTCATGCAGAGGCTGTCGTTTTGTGTTTATACATTTTCAGACAATAGAATGTTCATGATGTCGCTAAGACAATTGTCTACAGACATGTGGATAGACTGTAAACCAGCCTTAATTGTAAATCGCCATATAGGCATTGTTGCATCATCGGTAGGAGTGTTTTGAAATTCCTGAATTTACTGAGATCATGACCCCTGCATACATTAATGAGCCATACTTTGCTGGTGTCAAACCATTTATGAAAACATGATACATATTTTGAAAGCTGAGAAACAGCCCTTTCAAATGATATGATGTCAATCAAATGGTAATCAGTCAAGAAAAACCACCTGTGAAAATGTGTATCTTATACACTTTTTTCCCCAAACAACTGCCATTTACACAACTTCCTAATGAAGATAAAGAAACACTTAGAGTATATTGAGTCTTCCTTGTTTTGTAAGGATTGATAATCTGAAATCAGAATAGTAATACCTTTTACTGTGAATGAGTTACAGCTGTTTTAAAGACCGGTTGTGTTTTTCTAGAATTTTATGGAATGTTCTGTGATCAGACACTTTCTTATTTGGATAGTATAGTAAACACATACATGCACCAAAACATATTACAAATGGCATTTAGTCTTACATTTTATAAGGAAAGACATTCATAAGTAATAATAAATAAAACTATAACTTTATGGAAAGAATAAGGTTAGGGGAATACATGATCTCATTCCACCCTGAAAACAAAGTGCAAGTTACATCATGCTATTTTAACCATAACATTATATACAACATTCATCTCAGGGATATTGTCATCAAAATTGAACTGGAATTACTAAATATTATAAGAATAAGGCATATAATAACTATTTGCTTTTACAACTTACATTTTTTCTTACATACAGTGGGGAGAACAATTATTTGATACACTGCCGATTTTGCAGGTTTTCCTACTTACAAAGCATGTAGAGGTCTGTAATTTTTATCATAGGTACACTTCAACTGTGAGAGACGGAATCTAAAACAAAAATCCAGAAAATCACATTGTATGATTTTTAAGTAATTAATTTGCATTTTATTATGTACAAGTTATCAATCGGCTTGCAAGGTGACAGTTACATTTTATTCTCCAAAGGTTTTCACTCTAACATTTGAGAAAACATGTAACATAATTTCATATCTGATAGTCCATAATCCTTAAGAGTCTATTGACGCACCCGTGAGTCAATCTAATTAACATAATACACATCTGCGGTGGAAAGGGGCAGAGCTACAGCACTGTTTTCAGAACAGGAGACATTCCGAAAATCGCTTTTCTCATAAAAACGTCTGTTGCGTCCGAACGGTAATATGACCACTATGGAAAGATGAGACGCTTAGGAGCGCGATGGTGTTCACTGTTTTGCTCTACGACCCCCAGAAGCCACACGGGACTCATCTGAAGTCAGTACCGCCGATATGCCAACTTCTATCTGTAGCGTCCAAACTATTTGGGCTACAAACTAGTATGACCCCGCTATGGAAAGGGGAGACTCCATTTAGTTTTTCAACACTCTCTCTCTCCCAGAAACACATACACACTGCTCCCAACTTTAAAAACGTTAAGCACCAAACAGAATATAAGGAGCACCAGAAAGAGAGAGATTTTTGATAGTTTAGACTAACATTAGGCCTATATGAATCCTACCTTTTTGAAGCACATATCATCAGTAGTAGACCCTTTTCCTTTCTTCCTGTGCCAATCAAATTTGCCTAAACCTAGTGTCAAGATACCAGGTTGTTAGCTAGCTTGGTAACATGGCTGAACGTTGTTTATCAAAACAATAATTAGTAGCCCGGGATTAGTTTGAAACGGCCCACGTCATGGTTTGTGAAATTAATTCAAATGCGTGCAAAATCGCGCAGGAGGAGAAAAGTTTGTATTTTTTTTAACCCTTTGAGCTAGAGACAAGTCATTTTCTTTGCTGTAAAGCTGCAAGCATGACTGTCGCAAAGCTGTTTGCTTCTCTGGCACTGCTGTGTGACAGCGAACTTACAATGCCTATCAGACTGGCCTGTGCTCTTGGTTTTGCCAGGGATTCAATTATATACAATGTAGGCCTATCAACCTTGCTTGCTCTGCGCGCTGCTCCAATGTATCAAATGTACAAATGTAACAACAGAAGACTGATCAGTGTCTGCATAGCCCCTCGCCATCACTGCTAAATTATATTTTAAAAACGGAGGAATAGATGCGCAGGAAGAGCGGATGGAGAGAAGCTGGTGAGTGATGGTTGGAATGGGATGCGGCTGGAGGATTACAGCTATGCGCATGAAAGTGAAGGGGACATTATTGGACCGGTACTTACAAGAGACTAGTAAGTTGCTGTTGGTTACATTTTAACAATTATAACAGGTGCCAGCGGGTTCTTTAGATCGGTAGTATCAAATTTGGTAGTATCATATGAAACATCTAAAATGTTGGTATCATAAGTATCATGACGTTTTGGTACCGTGACATTACTGTGGTACCGGTATACCATGCAATACTTCTTCATATCTAACTTAATCATTAGCTAGTTCGTGTTAGCTAGGTCTAGCTCATACCTAATGACAAATGCTCTTCAAATTTTCATATAAGTATTTTAGTTTGTAGTTATCAATGAAAACATTTACATAAAAAAGATTGACAAAAAGATTGCTTTTTGTCCGAATTTCATTTCACAGACTCATCAATTGGAAAAAATACTCTAAAATGTACATATAATTACCAACTAATTGTATACAGTTTCATAACTTTAATATTGTTGTCCTGATCTCAATGACAGCTGTCAAAGTTGAGAAACCTTTCAGGTCCAGTAGAGGTGAGGTGCCTCCCGGTGGCAGCATTCACTTTCAGTCTCGGTGCCAAAACTCACAATTTGCTCACTCCTACCAATGACACATCGGCGTCAGTCGTTACAATGGCAATTCAAGATGGCGCTACCCATACCTCTAATAAACGTTGTTCAAGATCAAAATACTAAAAATATAGATTTTTCTATGTTACATGCACATGTTCAGTAGTATTAGTGTGTTTGCGCAGCTTTACTTCCTGAATTGTTTCCTTTTAATTCTCTACAATTCTCCTTTTCTATCACAGGTGTGTGGGGATATCCATGGACAGTTTTATGACCTGAAGGAGTTGTTTAGAGTAAGTTCAGTCTCCTTTCTGTCTGTATTTCCTGCATTCCATCTGTATGATTTCTCAGAGTGCTGCTTTGTGCGGTGTCTGTACAGTTCCATACTCAACATATGCACCATTTGGCTTCATAATGCCATGAACTCCATGTCATTTACATACATGTCATATTCTACTGTGCCATTTTTGCTGTGTCATTATTTAACACTTCAATTGCGTGTGTGCAAGGTAGGGGGCGACGTTCCGGAGACAAACTATCTCTTCATGGGTGACTTTGTGGACCGAGGCTTCTACAGCGTGGAGACGTTCCTGCTGCTGCTAGCACTCAAGGTACTCGAGAGAAGCCAAATCAGAGCTATTCAATTATTCTGAGGCTAGATGTTTTCATTCTTTAGACCGGCTTTTACCCCCTCTGTAGTAGTGTTTCTAATGCTATGCAGGGTTGGGGTTTATTCAATTTCAACTTATGTAAATTCAGGAAATATTATAATAATATGCCATTTAGCAGACGCTTTTATCCAAAGTGACTTAGTCATGCGTGCATACATTTTTGTGTATGGGTGGTCCCGGGGATCGAACCCACTACCCTGGCGTTACAAGAGCCGTGCTCTACCAGCTGAGCTACAAATTATTGGAAATGTTTTATACTTCTTCATTGTACTGTGCGAAGTGTGCCCTTTGTGTCTAGTGCCACTACTAACCTCTCTATGGGACAAAGTCGGACCTACCACCCCTCTCATTTGCCTTTTGGCCAGTAGGGTCCCTCTGAAGGACCCATTCTAACAAGTAACTTACCCCCTCCTCCTCCCACAGGTGAGGTATCCAGACAGGATCACTCTGATCCGAGGGAACCACGAATCACGGCAGATCACACAGGTCTACGGCTTCTATGATGAGTGCCTCCGCAAGTACGGCTCGGTCACCGTGTGGAGATACTGCACCGAGATCTTTGATTACCTGTCCCTCTCTGCCATCATCGACGGCAAGGTGAGCTCCCTGGCCTCTTCAGTCACATCTCTCTGCTGCTCTCTGATTGTTATTTGTGCCATCTTACCAACTCTTATGGTCATGCCAAGGAGGGACGTGACAATAAACATAGGAGTTGACAATACAGCACAAATAGATCTGGGACCAGGCTAGATTGTAATGGTTAGATGGCTAGTCTCACTAAATAGCTAGCTCTAACTGAAACAGCATGACTCGCTACTATACTCGCTTTATATCTCTCCTGCTAGCTCTGGTTTTCCTCTGTAATTAATGCAAGTAACTGTGGATCGCAATCACACCCTTCGGTTCAAACATGTTTTGTTGCTGTATTGGGAAGAATGTTTTTAAAGAAACCTGTTTCCGGAATTGGATTGTGTAGGGCCTTAACTATACTGAACAAAAAATATAAACATAACATGCAACAATTTCAAAGATTTTACTGAGTTACAGTTCATATGGAAATCAGTCAATTGAAATAAATTCATTAGTATGGAGTGGCGCAGTGGTCTAAGGCACTGCATCGCAGTGCTAGCTGTGCCACAGGCTCTGTCGTAGCCGGCCGCGACCGGGAGACCTATGGGGCGGCGCACAATTGGCCCAGCGTCGTCCAGGGTAGGGGAGGGAATGGCCGGCAGGGATGTAGCTCAGTTGGTAGAGCATGGCGTTTGCAACGCCATGGTTGTGGGTTCGATTCCCACGGGGGGCCAGTATGAAAAATAAATAATGTATGCACTCACTTATCTGTAAGTCGCTCTGGATAAGAGCGTCTGCTAAATGACTAAACTGTAAAAATGTGTGACCACCATTTACCTCATGCAGTGCAACACATCTCCTTTGCATAGAGTTGATCAGGCTGTTGATTGTGGCCTGTGGAATGTTGTCCCACTCCTCTTCAATGGCTGTGTTAAGTTGCTGGATATTGGCAGGAACTGGGACACGCTGTCGATCCAGAGCATCCCAAACATGCTCAATGGGTGACGTCTGAATATGCAGGCCAAAGAAGAACTAGGATATTTTCAGCTTCCAGGAATTGTGTACAGATCCTTGCGACATGGGGCCGTGCATTATCATGCTGAAACATGAGGTGATGGCTGCGGATGAATGGCAGGACAATTGGCCTCAGGATCTCGTCACGGGATCTCTGTGCATTCAAATTGTGTTGTGTGACAAAACTGCACATTTTAGAGTGGCCTTTTATTGTCCTCAGCACAAGGTGCACCTGTAACGATCATGCTGTTTAATCAGCTTCTTGATACGCCACACCTGTCAGGTGGATGGATTATCTTGGCAAAGGAGAAATGCTCACTAACAGGAATGTAAACAATTTTGTGCATGTAGAACATTTCAGGGATCTTTTATTTCATTTCATGAAACATGGGACCAACACTTGACAATTTGTGTTTATAGTTTGGTTCAGTGTAGATTATCTTTCTCTTTCTCTCATTGTGTAGATATTCTGTGTGCACGGCGGCCTTTCTCCCTCTATTCAAACTCTGGACCAGATCAGAACTATCGACAGAAAGCAGGAAGTGCCTCACGACGGCCCCATGTGTGACCTGCTGTGGTCTGACCCAGAAGGTAAGATACTGGTACTGTCCAGAAACAACCCCCTAAATAACCATTCCACCCCAAAAATGTGTAGCTATAAGCAAGATGGTGAAAATTCCAGCAAAAATAGCATCTATGCCCCAACGAAGAGGAATGAGACAATTCAAGTAACGACCAGAATTTCTCTCTCTCTCCCTCCCTCTCCCAGACACCACAGGGTGGGGTGTGAGCCCGAGAGGGGCGGGTTACCTGTTTGGCAGTGACGTGGTGGCCCAGTTCAACGCGGCCAACGACATCCACATGATCTGCAGAGCCCACCAGCTGGTCATGGAGGGATACAAGTGGCACTTCAATGAGACCGTGCTCACTGTGTGGTCCGCACCCAACTACTGCTACAGGTCTGTGTCCTGTCTCCATCTCTTGCTCGCTTGTCGTCTCGTTTTCTTCTCCCGTCCTCTATATTGTGTTATTTGGACTGCTGAGTTTATGGCCAAACTCTGCTGTGTATGCATGTGCTTTGTTAACTTATAGCAATGTTTAGGTCACCATAGCAACAATCTCTCTCTCTCCTGCCCCCTTCTCTCTCTCTCTCTCTCTCTCTCTCAGATGTGGAAATGTGGCGGCCATCTTGGAGCTGGATGAGCACCTGCAGAGGGAGTTCATCATATTTGAAGCCGCTCCGCAGGAAACCAGGGGCATTCCCTCCAAAAAGCCAGTGGCAGACTACTTCCTGTGACCTCTCACCCTGGAGGGAATATGGGGCCTTTGGTCGCGTTCCCCTGCTCAGACGTTGCATGCACCAACCAATGGTTGCGTGCCACGTCATCGACTGTGTCGTCGACTGCTATATTGCTATAACTTGATGTGGTTAGCTGATACTTAAAATACCTATCCAGGGGTTGTAAGATCTGGCATGCGTCAGCAATGCCTGGGCAGAGGAACGCGCCCTTTATGTTAGGATGGATTCTGGTGTCTTGAATCTCTTCGGTTCTGTTTGAAACTGACCCCTAGACCAGGGGTAGACAACCCTGTTGCTGGAGTGCCACAGGTACTGTACAATTGTCTCAAGGCACCACACTGAGCTACTAAGCTTATTGATCAGTTCAGTGATTGCCTAAATTCAACACATTTGGTCTTCCAGGTCGGTTTAATAAAAAACAGGAAGTGCCTGCCGCACTCCAGGACCAGGGTTGCCTACCCCTGCCCTAGACACTTCTTGAATCCCCAATGGAGGGATGAAAGAGCTGTGTCAGTGTGAGCAAAATGGCATAAACTCCACCTAGCCCTCTATCCACCCTATCAGAGGATGAGATGGAGCTATTACCATACTGCTGATACTGTCCAGACCTTGGTCCTGAAGATCATGAAGTGTCTAGTTGTGACCGCTTTGGGTCCGCATGAAACTGTGCCCATGACTGTTGTTATTTCAGCTCTCTAAAATCACCACGTTCTTCTTTTTCTTCCTCCCCTATTAACGTCTCTTATCCCCTCTCGCCGCCATTGAGCTGTTCGGTGTTTGTCCCCCTAATCTTGTCTTTTTACATTTGAAAATGTGAACATTGTCCTACAGATGGAGAGATACTTGAAAGGAGATGAGAATCTTTTAATCTGCAGATATAGGAAATTAACCCCATTTCTTGGTTGGATTTATCATATGCATAATTTCTTATACAAAAATCTAAGAAAATATAAATGTGTAACTGTTGTGTAAAGGATGAACTGCATTTTTTTCCTTTTTTTGTTTGTTTGCTATTTCAGTTTCCTGTTTGCTTGTGTTTTGTCTCCAACTCAGTTTTCAAAAACATAATTCTCAATGCAACTCAGCATATCCTGAACAGCACCTACCCTCAAACAAAAATAAAGTAACTGGTTGAATGGGATCACTACACAGAACTTTTTTTTCTTCTCTACCTTGTTGATGCCTATTGATCCACAAATCTCTGTAGGGTTCACTGTTGACTTTTGATATTGTGAAAATAAAATCTTTTTGTATCAATCTAATTTATCTGCTGGAGTGGCTATCATTTGGAGGTTTGAAGTTCTGTTTATTTAGCCAGTTGATGCATGGAGTGAAAAAAAACGTCAATTATATATCCATACATGACGTACTGTGGTGTTCCCAACCAAAATCCTAATAGCAATATTACGGAAGGCATGAAGCGAGTAAGTATGGTGATTTTAGATCATAATATTTAGCAGACATACTGTTTTTATATTTTTCTACATATGCTTATATATTTAAATGTATGATGTGTAAATACATTTTAGCTAGTAAAATATAATCCAAAATATATTTCAAATATGTTGCCATGTTTTTTATTAATGTAAAAAACAGATTGTTACCTTCCATACTGTAGCTAGGCTACATTAAAATACAATGCATATAACTACAAAGTTCAGCACTAATTTACAATAGCAGTATGGAGGACCAAAGATGCTGTAATTAAAATGTAATAAATGCACACATAAATTGATAAATAATTATTGAAATAATGAATCCCACTTTGTTTCATTTTATTCATTTATATTATGTATTTCTTCTTCCAATATGATAATGAGGGTGTCAAGCAATCGTATGTGGGTGGTATATACACTGCTCAAAAAAAAAAAGGGAACACTTAAACAACACAATGTAACTCCAAGTCAATCACACTTCTGTGAAATCAAACTGTCCACTTAGGAAGCAACACTGATTGACAATACATTTCACATGCTGTTGTGCAAATGGAATAGACAACAGGTGGAAATTATAGGCAATTAGCAAGACACCCCCAATAAAGGACTGGTTTTGCAGGTGGTGACCACAGACCACTTCTCAGTTCCTATGCTTCCTGGCTGATGTTTTGGTCACTTTTGAATGCTGGCGGTGCTTTCACTCTAGTGGTAGCATGAGACGGAGTCTACAACCCACACAAGTGGCTCAGGTAGTGCAGCTCATCCAGGATGGCACATCAATGCGAGCTGTGGCAAGAAGGTTTGCTGTGTCTGTCAGCGTAGTGTCCAGAGCATGGAGGCGCTACCAGGAGACAGGCCAGTACATCAGGAGGCCGTAGGAGGGCAACAACCCAGCAGCAGGACTGCTACCTCCGCCTTTGTGCAAGGAGGAGCAGGAGGAGCACTGCCAGAGCCCTCCAGCAGGCCACAAATGTGCATGTGTCTGCTCAAACGGTCAGAAACAGACTCCATGAGGGTGGTATGAAGGTCCGACGTCCACAGGTGGGGGTTGTGCTTACAGCCCAACACCGTGCAGGACGTTTGGCATTTGCCAGAGAACACTAAGATTGGCAAATTCGCCACTGGCGCCCTGTGCTCTTCACAGATGAAAGCAGGTTCACACTGAGCACGTGACAGACGTGACAGAGTCTGGAGACGCCGTGGAGAACGTTCTGCTGCCTGCAACATCCTCCAGCATGACCGGTTTGGCGGTGGGTCACTCGGACCTTCATACCATGGTGTGGGGTGGCATTTCTTTGGGGGGCCGCACAGCCCTCCATGTGCTCGCCAGAGGTAGCCTGACTGCCATTAGGTACCGAGATGAGATCCTCAGACCCCTTGTGAGACCATATGCTGGTGCGGTTGGCCCTGGGTTCCTCCTAATGCAAGACAATGCTCGACCTCATGTGGCTGGAGTGTGTCAGCAGTTCCTGCAAGAGGAAGGCATTGATGCTATGGACTGGCCCGCCCGTTCCCCAGACCTGAATCCAATTGAGCACATCTGGGACATCATGTCTCGCTCCATCCACCAACGCCACGTTGCACCACAGACTGTACAGGAGTTGGCGGATGCTTTAGTCCAGGTCTGGGAGGAGATCCCTCAGGAGACCATCCGCCACCTCATCAGGAGCATGCCCAGGCGTTGTAGGGAGGTCATACAGGCACGTGGAGGCCACACACACTACTGAGCCTCATTTTGACTTGTTTTAAGGACATTACATCAAAGTTGGATCAGCCTGTAGTGTGGTTTCCCACTTTAATTTTGAGGGTGACTCCAAATCCAGACCTCCATGGGTTGATACATTTGATTTCCATTGATCATTTTTGTGTGATTTTGTTGTCAGCACATTCAACTATGTAAAGAAAAAAGTATTTAATAAGATTATTTCATTCATTCAGATCTAGGATGTGTTATTTTAGTGTTCCCTTAATTTTTTGAGCAGTGTATATATATATATATAAACTCAGCAAAAAAAGAAACGTCCTCACTGTCAACTGCGTTTATTTTCAGCAGACTTAACATATGTAAATATTTACATGAACATCACAATATTCAACAACTGAGACATAAACTGAACAAGTTCCACAGACATGTGACTAAAATAAATTGAATAATGTGTCCCTGAACAAAGGGGGGGTCAAAATCTAAAGTAACAGTCAGTATCTGGTGTGGCCACCAGCTGCATTAAGTACTGCAGTGCATCTCCTCATGGACTGCACCAGATTTGCCAGTTCTTGCTGTGAGATGTTACCCCACTCTTCCACCAAGGCACCTGCAAGTTCCCAGACATTTCTGGGGGGAATGGCCCTAGCCCTCACCCTCCGATCCAACAGGTCCCAGACATACTCAATGGGATTGAGATCCGGGCTCTTCGCTGGCCATGGCAGAACAATGACATTCCTGTCTTGCAGGAAATCACACACACAGAACGAGCAGTATGGCTGGTGGCATTGTCATGCTGGAGGGTCATGTCATGAGCTTCCCTGTAACCCACAGCGTTGAGATTGCCTGCAATGACAACAAGCTCAGTCCGATGATGCTGTGACACACCGCCCCAGACCATGACGGACCCTCCACCTCCAATTCGATCCCGCTCCAGAGTACAGGCCTCGGTGTAACGTCATTCCTTCGACGATAAAAGTGAATCCGACTATCACCCCTGATGAGACAAAACCGCGACTCGTCAGTGAAGAGCACTTTTTGCCAGTCCTGTCTGGTCCAGCGACGGTGGGTTTGTGCCCATAGGCGACGTTGTTGCCGGTGATGTCTGGTGAGGACCTGCCTTACAACATGCCTACAAGCCCTCAGTTCAGCCTCTCTCAGCCTATTGCGGACAGTCTGAGCACTGATGGAGGGATTGTGCGTTCCTGGTGTAACTTGGGCAGTTGTTGTTGCCATCCTGTATCTGTCCCGCAGGTGTGATGTTCGGATGTACCGATCCTGTGCAGGTGTTGTTACTCGTGGTCTGCCACTGCGAGGACGATCAGCTGTCCGTCCTGTCTCTCTGTAGTGCTGTCTTAGGCGTCTCACAGTACGGACATTGCAATTTATTGCCCTGGTGACATCTGCAGTCCTCATGCCTCCTTGCAGCATGCCTAAGGCACGTTCACACAGATGAGCAGGGACCCTGGGCATCTTTCTTTTGGTGTTTTTCAGTGTCAGTAGAAAGGCCTCTTTAGTGTCCTAAGTTTTCATAACTGTGACCTTAATTGCCTACGGTCTGTAAGCTGTTAGTGTTTTAACGACCGTTCCACAGGTGCATATTTATTAATTGTTTATGGTTAATTGAACAAGCATGGGAAACAGTGTTTAAACCCTTTACAATGAAGATCTGTGAAGTGATTTGGATCTTTAATAATTATCTTTGAAAGACAGGGTCCTGAAAAAGGGACGTTTCTTTATTTGCTGAGTTTATGTGGGTGGTACACCATTGGTTGATCAATGCCACAGCGCGTTGATCAATTGCATTTGCCTGGGCTGCATTCAGTATGACAGAATGTGTTAAGTTTAAACCATGCTTCACATTAGCACCCACCAAACAATAATGTGTAGCACATATAGCTATGTACAGGGGCGCATCTTT